GTGCCCTCCATCCCCAGGAGCTCTGGCCCAGCTGCAGGGCAGTGCTGGCACAGGTCGGATCAGGACTCAGCAGACACTGAGCATGTTTGCCAAAGGATTAAGCAAGGTAAGCCTCTGGGTTTCTCCAACCCCTGTTCAGGGGGCCCGGTCCCTGCCCCTTTCTCTGTCCATGGGGTATTTAAAGGCTGTATTTTTTAAGGCCCTGGTCCCCCAGGAGCACCCCATGGGCTGGCTGACCGTGCTGTGGTCACCACGGTGCCGTGGTGCCCGACCCACACTCCCCCAGAGCCCCCTGATGCTGCTTTGGGCAGCGTGCGCGGGGCAGGCGCGGCCGGGCTGGCGTCTGGTGTCTGCTCAGCTGTACTGAGCTGTTTAAACTTAGCAAAGGGGCTTTTTTTAGGTCCATATGCACAGATCAGGTGGTCACCTGTGGCAATATGTTCATTCACAGATCCTAGCTGCTTTCAGGGACTGGCCTGAAAGCCAGTCTCTAAACATAATTAGGGCTATTTAAATAGCTGCTCACAATTACCTCTCGGTTCACACAAAATGCCATGAACTCCCTCATTGAGCAATAACTCCGGGCAACACAAGGGTGAAAAGCCACAGGGACCTTGCTGCTGAATGCCTCAAAGATTTCTGTGATCCTGCTGTAAATGGATGTTTACTTTCTAAGAGCTGCCACCACGTCTCCTGTGCCATTATGTCAGTTTTGAGACCAGCAGCTTTACCAGGCCCATGGACAGTTGTTCCCACCCGTCACCCTCCCTTGTCCTTGCCCACAGTAATTAGGCTGGAGGCAGATGTAGCAAAGCCTGACTCAGGGATGGATGTGAATAGCAGTTCTTCAGCTTTTGTCCTTCTGCCCACCCTAAATAATTTAATTTCTGGGATTCCATCACACTGAATGTGTCTGTGAGAGCGTCAGTGAGCAGAGCCCGGCCCCAGGCCCAGCCCCAGCAGGTGCTGAGCTATCGGGTCATCTGGAACACACTTCTCATTTTCAGCACAGTGCAATTTTCTCCCCAGCAATGATATTATCTTTGCCATGGGCTCCTGGCACGCAGCGGCTCACACGCACCATTAGCAGGTGGCAGAAGACATACACGGAATTTGCTCTCAGAACATTTCTTCCATTCTTCCTCCCAGACTGATGAAGTGCAAGTTAAAGCTAAAGGCATGTACTGACTACAGCCCATTCCCAAACAGGGCCACGGAGAGTCAAACATGGGCTCTGGGAGAAAACTCTCAAACCCTCCAGTCTCTCTGCCATGGTTCAGTTCCTCAGACGCAGCCCTGGAACGTGGGGAGTGAATTCTGTGCGGCCACACTCTCGGTCCCCCCGTGCCAGCTCCTCTGGGATCAGCTGGCAACAAGCAGCAGGGAGGCAGAGACGTTGGCACAGTCTCTGCAGGGAGCTGAGGTGCCCATCCATGGCCCCAGCAAGCTGCTGTGGCAGAGCTCTGGGCACTGGTGTAGACCAAGATGAACACGGGAATTTAATTGAAGCCAGACAGCTGTGTGCACCTGGGCACACCTGCCACTGGAAAACTGCACAGCAGAGGCACTTTTGTGCCAACCATGGAATTCATTTCCTTAGAAAAATATTTTGCCTGAAGCCCACTAAAGAATGCAGCCCCAGATAACTCCCTTGCTTTGGCCCAGGGTTGAGCTGAAGCCCCACAGCAGAGTGAGCACTGCTGGCTGCACAAGGGATGTCCTGTGCCTGGCAACACGGGGCAGAAGGAAAGAAAAGGCACTGGGACAAATGGGGTTTGTTACAGTTTTGTTGTACAGGGGGGAAAAAAGAATTTGTCATCTGTCTAAGAAAGTGAACTATGCTGGATGCTACATTTCCTACCTAACTCCATGGAACAGCTTCTGTTGAGTGCTGTCAACACCTCAGAGCTCTCTTATGTTCCTTTCTTTTGAAATTCAAAGTCAAAAGAAACTCAGCTACTTTGAGTTGGCTGTATCTATTTGCCCTTTCCTTCCCTTGAAGCAAACACAATCAGTAACATTCCCTGGCATAATTCTCTCCTTCCTAAAGTTTCTTTCCTCCATTGCCCTCCTCCATATAATCAGACCCTTTTTCACACATGGGTGAACCTAGAAAATCATTTAGAGTGGGAACCATGTGAACCACTTCAGTGAACATCAGGTAATTGTGTCTTAGAGGCCTTTAGGAAGGTCAAATGTTTCTGTGTAATTTTTCCAGCTACTTTCTCCATGAACTGAAGCCCACTGGCTCTGGGCAAAGAATAAGGTGGCTCTGTACAAGCCTCCAACTCCCCGTCCCCACGGATCACCCGTCCCAAATCTCTGCATGATTCCTTTGATGTTTTCTTCCCAAGACACCCATCTCCACGTCACCTGCTTGTGCAAGGTTTGTGTTGCTCACCCTTGGCCTGGGAATGGCTGAGGTTTCCAAGATATGCACTTTTCCAAAAAAAAACCCCTAACTTTTCACTTGCATCAGGATATGAAAAACAACTTGAAAATCATGAGACACACAGACAGACACACAGACAGACCACTGGAGTGCTGAACTTGCCTGTCTGTGGTTGCTCCTGGTTCCAGTGTTCCAGATGAGCTGCAGCTTTCCCTTCCCAGCATCACAAATTTGGGGATTACTCCTAACAAACCAATAAACTTTGTGATAATAAACAAGAAACTAAAATATTAATTTAAATGAACTGACAAGTGTTACAGCCACAAGATGGTCACATAATCCCAACTTTCATTCAAAACTAGACAAAGAACATCAAACAATATTAAATAAACTTTATGTTCTTCTTTAATAATGCAATTTCAACTGTGCTGCCTTGGAGCTCCACAGACCCACTCCCTGCTCTGGGCTCACTGTGCCCAGCAGCAACCACAGAGGAACAGAAATAATGACACTTTCTGATGTGCTGCTCCTTTCTGCACAGTTAAAGACCCCCTGTCTGACATACTGTACTTGCTTCCCCTTGTGCCTGCTTTGATTCCTTGATGCAAGTCAAGATCCACTCAAACTGAGAGTATCTTGTGTTTGGAAGGAAATACTTCATAACCTGCACAAGGAGATCTATTTTGAATAAATATGAAATTCTATAATTAGAAAAAAACACAGACCAAACCATTCCATTCACACTGCAAGCACATAGTTTGTCCTCATTTATTGCAGCCTAAAGCTATAAAATACAGGGTATAACAACATTTATAGAACATGTACGTAGCATTTGTCACAGACAGTGTCCTTTAAAGTCAGCTACGTGTCATAACCTCTGACTACCGTGTGTGGTTGCAAACTGTAGGAAATAACACAATTTGAAAAATGCTGGGAATAAGAGAGTCTGGATCAGCACTGTCTAAAGAATGGTCTTGAGACACCAGATCTCAGCCCACACCCCTCCCTCCCTCCCCCAAGATACATCAGTTTTGTCCTTTCCTTGGCAGTCTGGGGTCACAGTGCAGCCTCAGCTGGGAGAGCTCCAGGGGCATCTCTGCCAGGCTGCAGGGAGAGGAGTGAGGACCCTGGGGGGACCCTGGGACTGGGGTGGCTCTGGCATTCAGCAGGGATGGACCTCTCCTGCTCCCTCTGGGAATCCTGAACTGGCACCACCTGGCACACACGTGTTCCCTGCACGAGCATGGATATCTTCAATGAATGACACGTTGGTTTCTCCATTCGGGGCAGATGCCAGGAGTCCTCTTTAATATCAGCAACGTTTAACTCATGATTGTGGCTGCTCCTCATGGAAAGAGCACAAAGGAACAGGCTCCAGTGGGAGAGCAGCAGCAGATCCCCCAGAACGATGGCTGCCCAGAGACCCAGCTCAGACTGGAAAGAGAGAGTATTAATTAGGATTAAAGGGAAGTAACGGGCTTAGTATAATATGACAGCTGTGCCAGAGAATGCTACATTTTCTATCTGCAATCCCTACTGTCAAATCTCTGTTTTATATTTTGGGTATTGGCCAAATCACACTGGCTGCAGAATCCCCCCCATTTCTGCAAGTCACTGCAGAGGGGCAGAATTGTCTATATTGAGCCCACCAAGTCCCCACATTAATCTTTGCTCCTTCTGTTTTTCAGTACCCTGCTGAGGACTTTCACCTGGTGTGTCCCACAGTGGGTTGGATGCTGAAGAATGCAGCCCAGGCCCTGCTTTCCCCAGAAGGATTAACGGCTGGGCCTGTGGTTTGTTTTCCATTTAATTCCTTCTTCCTTTCCCCACGTGTGGGTTTCCTTATAATACAGGCTATAAAAAGCACTCCAACCAGAAAACAGCAGACCTGAAAGGGAAAGGAAATAATAAATCAAATGGCAGAAGGTAGAAAAGAAGGGAAGGGGTAACATTTGTAGTGCACTTTGCCTAGAATTTCAGTCACATCTGGGTTTGCTTGAGGTTATGAAGGTACATCTGCAAAAGAAAGCAAGGGGTCTGTGGATGACGGAGCCAAACCACAGCAGCCCCATTGCCAGACTCAGACAGAGCCCTCCTCGTGGTACCACAGAGCCACCTCCCCTCCCAGGGAGCATGAGGGGCTCCCCACCTTCCCCAGAGCACCCCTGGGACACTCCTCCAACAGCACCTTGTGGGCAGCTCGGCCCCGAGGGCTTCGGGAGCTGCAGCCACGAGAGGGTCCCTCCTGGAATGGTGCTGCACCACTGGTGTCTGACACAGCACGGGAAGGAAAGCCAGGGGAGGGAGATCACTGGGAGATCTGGGAAGGAAAGCCAGTGGAGGGAGATCATTGGGAGATCTGGGACTGACTCAGAGCCCTCTCCTTGCAGGACATGCTGGGAGCAAACCCTGTGGTGTCACATAACACAGACCAAAGTGATGTTCCCCACTATGGAGGTGTCCACTAACCATTAGGGATGCTTTTCTTAAAGCTGGAAAGGTATGAAGAGGAGCACAGGTGAGGAGAAGGGAAGAAATATCTTTGGAAAAAAACTTCAGGGCCGGGGGGGATGTGAAATGGCCAAACTCAGCCCTGGTCAATGCACAGGGGAACAGCACCCTGCAAAGGCAGAGAGAAGAGGTTCAGCAGCACCTCTGGGCAGTGGAAGAGTCGCCCTACCCCTACCAGGGACAGGCAGCAGCACAGGCAGTCAGCTCCTGTCCTCATCCATCCCAACAGAGAGGAAAAGGGAAAAAAGAGACCAGAAAAAAAAATCAAGGAAAAGGCACTTTCCCGGGAGCAAGGAGCAGCTGTGGAGCAGGTTTAGGGCTACAGCACAGAGAGGTCCTCTTTCCTTGCAAAGGTGTTTGCAGGTCCCGAGTGTTTTAAACTCCCACTGGACTTAGAAGTCCCCAGTGCTTGAAAGTGACAGTGACAAGTGGCCAAAGCTCCTTGTTTCATGGTGGCTGAACTCATCCCTTTCCAGAACTGCCCTGGGTGAGGTCTGCAGGGCGCTGGGGGGGATGTGGGCTCCCCCTGCCCGGCCGTGCCCATGAGCAGACACAGCTCTCCCACCTGCCCACACACGTCCCACGTTCCCACAGGGGGTATTTCAGACTCTCCCTCCCTGAAGAAGGGAGTCCCTGCAGGGGCACACACAGTGGGCAGGAGCACCGGGCAGCTCATCCTCCTCATCCTCCTCATCCTCCTCAGCCACCTGGCCTTGGGCTCTCACTGGCACCCAGGGGCCTTGGCATGATCCCTGCAGGGGATGAGCAGTGACCCCAGCACCCATCTGTACCAGACAACACAAGGTAGTGAGGGCAGGCAGAGACATGCAGGACAGAAGGGGACACAACAGGGAGGGTGATGAGAGAAATATCTCAGAGCTGGTGCTAATTTTGTAGAATCTGGCTGTTAAACAAAGAACCACAGTGTTTTTAAAATTCCCAGTGACTTATTGAGTCACTCTCCTGCCAACTGGATTCCTTCAGCTGGCTGGACAATCTGACACCTCCTCTCAGAAAAGAATCCTCCAACATGAGCAGCTCAGTGTGACAGCACAAGGAACCACCTCTGAGCTGTGCTCCCCAGGCAAGGCAGGCACTGCAGCTGGGAACAGAGCCCCTTTATGGGATACTCCTGGACAGGTATGGGGAGTGCCTTGACATCCTCTTGCACTGCAGAACCTGGAGCCTCCCCTGTGCCCATCACACCGAGGGGTGGTGGGGAATGTGCCTCTCCTCTAACACCCCCAGCTGAACATTCCTGCTTTTCCCTTGGTACCAGCAGCTCATGTTTCAGCCTCCCCTCAGGACCTGGGGACAAAGAGCACCTTTTGAAGGCTCTCTCTGTGCCGTATTTCTCGACTCTGATAAACTCGGGCTGACTTACTCTGATCCAAACCTCTTGTGATACCTTTCTGCAAGCAAAGAACTCCTTAAGTGCTACCCCTGAGGAAATATAATGTTTCACATCTGCCTCATTTTGACACTAATGAAGGCTATTTCTTGTATTATATCATTACAGCGTTTTTTCTGTCAGTAGCAGTTATAATTCTATTTACTAGTTACTGCAGTTACCACTTGGAATGCATTTGTCTTTGGAAGCAGCAAAACCCTGTGGATATTTTACACGAAAGAAACGCTAATGTGATTTTGTCAAACAATACAAAAGGCATTTTGTGGGGTTTTGGATTTGCCTAAGTCCTGAATATTTATATTGCTTGATACCACTGCAGAGTATAGGAGCTATTAACAGCTGTGCCTCGGCACTGGCACTGGCCCTGGCAGGCTGGGCCAAGGTCATGGCTGGCAGCCCCAGAGTGCCCGTCTGACCGTGCTGACCCTGCCCTGACCCTGCCCTGATCCTGCCCAGACCCTGCCCTGACCCTGCACTGACCCACCCACCGCCACACAACATTAATCCTGACGTATCCATGAGAATGAACAATTTTCCAGTGACAGAACGGGCTCAGACTGGGGATCTCAGACGGGGATCTGGGACAGGCTCCAGCCAGGTGACAGTCGGCCCTGTCACAGTCGTGTGAGCACCAAGGAACTCGTTCCTGTGACGTACGACGGGGCCGTAACGGGGCTCTGACTCCAGGCACTGCCACAGAACCCCTGGACTAATGTGTTACTCATTCCAGTGCAGACTCTAAGGCTAACCACAGCAGAGAGAGAAACAGCTGAGGACACAAAACACCAGAATAATTTTAAGCATTCACCACTAAAATACAGTACATGTTAAAAACGCTGTCAGCATTTGCGCCAAGGTCCAGAGCATCCCTCCTGGATTTAGGCTTTGTTCTACATTTCATGCTGAGTTCAACAATAAATATTCAATCGCAAGAATTTAATTTGAAAGTTCAGCACTTTTTAAGGCCCCTCAAAGAGAATTTAAAATTACTGTCCCAAGCAAAGGGCCTTTCCCAGCACTCAGAGTGTGGAGGGGTCACCACAGAGCCTGCCCATAACAAGTGGGTCATGGGAGAATGAATCCATGAAGAAGCCAAAAAGCCAGAAGATTGAGCTTTGCTGTGGAACTGCCCCAGCTGTTCTCACCCACTGTGGACCCAGTCCAGTCCAGATCAGCCACGGCTCCCCTGGCTCTGGCAGGACCTCTCTGTCAGCTGGGCACAGGGTGAGACTCACTCAGAGCCTTCATGTGGTGACATCCAGCAGGGCCAGAGACTGCTCTGGCTGCAGGGACAGCTGCTCTGCTCCCGAGGAACTTCCCAGCCCCCCTGTACAGTGGCTGCAATCCCCACCCAATACACCCTGGGCAGGGGAGATGTCCAGGCTCAGCAGGTCATGAAGCTCTTCATCATCAGTTCTATTTGTTCATCAGTGCTCCCCAGCCCCAGAACACAGCAGCACTTCACCTCCACGTGGCCCACCAAGAGCAGGCACGGCTTTGAGTGGGACGTGGAATGTGGGCACTGCCACAGATGGGACATGGGCATGGGCACCACTGCAGACAGGACACGGGCACTGCTGTGGGTGGGACATGGGCACATGCCCATTGCTTCCTCAGTAATTGTACAGACCCTCGAGACCAGGACTTCTCATCCAAATCACCAAACCACAAACCCCCACACCTTCCTGCAGCAGCTAAATCTGTTCGTTATTTATCAGAGCAGTATCCTTCAGAATCCCAAAGTCCAGCTCCTTCCTCTCCCACTGCAGAGTTCATGTGACACCAGTGACACCCAGGTCTGGTGACTCCAGCACATCACTCACCCCACACTGGCCCCGCTCCCAGGGCTGGCACAGCAGGGCTGGAGAGCATCCTCAGTCACACAGTGAGTGCATCTGTCCCACAGGTTTGCTGGCCCCAGAAACTGCAGGGCAGGTTGCCAGCTGAAAAGAGAGAAGAAATGAAACTTATTAAACTCTTCAAAGTGAGAAATACACTGATAGTGCCTTATCAGCCAGAGAAGCTCCTGCCTCTTCCAGAACATGCTGCTGCTGACAGACCTCAACTTGTCAGCTGGTGTATTGCCACTAACACCTGAGACAGCAAACAAGAGCTAATCCTTACACCCTTCCTGTGCTAATGACTGCAAGAGATAACTGGTGTCCCTGGCAAGTGTCCCATTTAATTCAATTAACTCCAGCCAGGCCCTGGTGATTGCACTGGAGAAATCCAGAAGCCAGATCTGGAGTCAGAGGGTAAAGCCAAGGCAGTGGCCTGGACCCCAGTGTTTGGGTAGAGACCAATCCAGCATCCCCAGCAGCTTCTACAAAAGGGTGTGGAACAACATCATTTTTTTCCTGAAAATGCTCATCTTTTTTGCTGATAAAATGGAGGCAACTGATTTCTTTGTATATTTTGCTTATTTATCCTGAAACACTGGGTTCTGTGTGTGTTTAAGCAGAGGTTTTCACAGTGTTCCCATCCCCACCCGTGGGTCTGAGCTGGCAGGAAGATCATGTTTCCCCTAACACAAGGCAGATGTCTGCTGGCCAATCTGGGGGCACACAGAGCCTCTGGCCCCTCCTGGGGGAACCCAACACTTGCAGAGATTGAGGTGCCTCAGGTATGAACTGAAACATTCTCATAAACACGAAAAATAAACTAACCACAAAAAATGTAGCTGAAGGAACAACTGGTGTATCTCCTCAGTTGATACAATTTCCAGGTCTGTGTGATAGTAAAAAAAATACTTTCCAAATATTTTCCTTTTCCTTTTGAACATTCTTCTGTTGTGAGTTTCAACAGGCAGGAATGTATCTGGCCACTCACATTATTCAGTTAAGAAGTTTTGAAATAGAAAGAGATTTGCAGAGAAGTTTCCTTGGTGGCACTTCTGAAGTGTTAGTCTGGGATAGCAGGCAAAATCCTGAGAAGTCTGTACCTGGCCAACATAAATAGAAAGTGTATTTAAAGATGGGAGATTATCCATTTCTTGACAGGGCTGTCATACCTACTCTGCTGCCAATTTTTAGCAGCAGTTTGAAGGTCACTCCAGCACAAATAATGCCAGAAAAGGTTTTTCTGCTGGAAAACAAAGCCTTCAGACTTTCAATAAGGAGCTGTAAGGACTTAGAAGTGACCATCATCTTGGATGTCTCAGAAGCAGCATGAGCCAGTGGAGATCTCTGAAGCTTCACAAAGTTCTGCTGTCCTTGTGGAAAACCTGTTATGGCATTCCTGTCATCCTCCAGCCTCTGTGCATTCTCCAGGATGGCTGAGAGTGCAACAGGGAAGCCCAAACCATGTCAACAGCTAACGTGTCCCTGTGCTCCCACCCTCAAATGCACTGGAGAACAATTACCTGCAAATAAAGCTCAGCTGCTCTGTGCCAGCAACCGGCTTCAGAGTCACAAAACCTCTGCTGTGGGTCCACTCACCAACATCAAATACAGGTTTAAATAAACTTCTATGGCACCACTTTTACACCAGTTCAAGATCCATGAGGGATAACACGGGGACACCTGTGAGCAGAAGGATGCACACAACAGTGGCAGTTGCAATTCCTGCCCTTGGCAGCGCCGGTGGCTCTGGGCAGGCTGGGCCTGGAGCACAGCAGGGCACAGCCAGGAGAGCAGCTGGGACCATGCCAGCAGCAGTGGGACAGAGCTGACCCTCCCTCCTGGCATGTCCCAGGGACACACAGCAGAGAGCCACAGGAGGCCACTGCCTGAGGGACACCCCAGCCCTTCCCCGCTGCTCACAGGGTTGGGACCAGAGCAGCTCATGCCTCCAGCATCCTGCCATGAGCAGCATCCTGCCATGAGCAGCCTCCCACCTCAGCTCTGAGACAGCTGCCCCAACAGGACTGGGCTGAGCTCTATCTTTTGCCAAGTGGGGCATCAGCTGAGGGAAAACTGTGCTGGTGCCCGTGTGGGTCATGGTGTGACAGCAGTAAAACAAATCATATAAAAACCCCAGGGCCTTTCAAAGCATCCCCAAACACTGCCCTGATTCCCCTGCTGGGTGTCAGGTTCTAGGAACCAACTCCCTGCACAAAGCAGTTGCAGAGCCACATCTAAAACTACATCACCTGCTGCACAGAGAGAACTGACAATGGCATTAGCATGAAACTAAAATTAGAGGCTAATTGGGCTCTGCAGTCACTGAAACTGATGACAGTTCAGCAATTAACATCCCTGAATTTTCTTGACTGAAATAATTCTACAATCCGCTCCCATTCATGCTTCTTCCTGCTCCACAAGCAGGAGCCCTGGTAGCTTGGCACACCTGGCAAACAGGGGGATTCTTGCACCTCTGCCAGGGCTTGTGCTGTTGGCAGCGGTGACTGGGGTAGGCACAGATCTGAAGAGATCTTGTGCCTGCAAATCAGCATCATTTCACAAAAATGGGATGTGATATTCAGTGCCAGGGCACAGGAACCATCACTAACCACCACCAGTGCATGAACACAAGACACAGCCCTTCAGAAACCACGAGGCACAATGGGGCAGCATCACCTGGTCCTTGGTGCAGGTACCTCTGTCGGTGGTGTCAGGCTGGTGCTGCTGCTGCTCTGAGCAAAAGGAGATGCCTCTGTTAACAAGTCAGGGAGGGAAAGCATCAAATGCTCAACACCAGCTCAGGCTGAGAGTGGGACACAAGCCCAGCCTCTAATGAGCACATCTTGCAAGTGAATCAGAACGTAAGGTGGGCAACAACACCTACTGAAAGGCACGTGAACCTTTCCCTTGACCTCCCTGAGACACACCACACACTTGGGGCAGTGGAAAACACACCCTATTTAACTGGATGTGTTATTTACAAGTTGAGGGGGTTTTTCTCTAAGATCCAGAATGAGAGACCCAATGTGCTGCCATTACAGGTGCAAGTCAGGGCAAAGAATCAACAATTGCTCTGCCTCTGCCTCAGAGAAATACACTGCAGACTTGCAGTGCAGGACATGGCTGTGTGCACCTCTTGCAGGCTTTCTGTGCAGTATTCAGTGTGTGCCTGTCTGCCTGTGAGGAGCACACCTACTCTGGGCTCACCTGCCCCATGCTCACCTGCAGTTCCTGCAAGAGCTCTATGGTTTCATTTTTAATTCATTGTTCAGTACAACATTTGGAGTTTCTGAGCCATAAATACATCACCTCATGGTGGTGCATTTCAAAAAGCCATGGCATGCTCCCACCTCCACACACAGCTGAAGCCTCTGACTGCTGACAGCACTGAGCTTACAAAGCCAGCCCCTCTTCCATCCCTTCCTTCAGCACTTGCCTTGTTTTTGCTCTGGCCAGCAATTTTATGTGCAGCCTCTGCTCCAGACGTTGCCCTTCACGAGAATCTCCCAGTTCTGCTGTGACCCCTGAGGCAGGAAGGGGATGGTACAAGGCCTGTTTCTCCCCTCAGCTGTGATGAAGACCTGGCCATGGCTGGGCCCTGCTGGTGGAGCTCAGTGCCATCCCCACACAGCTCTGCTCTCCTCCTTTCTCCTTCCTACACTCGCTGCAGGCACGGAATGTTCCCAGGCTCCCGCAGCCATCCCTGGGGCATGCCAAGTCCATATGGTGCTGTCCCCTTCACACATTTCCAAAGGGCCAAAAAATCCACTCTTTGGAGACACACTTCTCTGTGCACAGTCCATTCAGCAGAAGGAACCAACATGGCCAAGATGAACACAAAAATGCGTCATTGCTCAGCAAGATTTCACTTGACACCCAGAGATATCAAGTATATTATTTTGGGGCAAAGTAATATAACCAGTCCTATTTCCAGTGCAACATACCTAACTTTTTCTTAAGTAAAATCCTTTTTTACTCATTTGCTTTAAACTATCAGTTTGCCAGGAATAGAAATGTGTATTATATATATTATGCTACAGACATTTTATTATATGTATTATACTACATACATTCCATACCTCTATATTATACTGCAGACATCTGTCCCTTCCACCATTTATATCACTGTTTCGGGGTACAATCAGAGCCCTGTGGTTTTATTCTAAAACTCACCCCTGTAGATTACAAGCAATCAGGTTTCTGAATTGGAAGTCCACAGGTCATGGCTGTCGTTGCCCACCCCAGGAGCTGACAATGCTGGGGACATCTGCTCCATCCTGGCATTCAGAGGGGACTGTGACATTCTGCTGATGCTGCCAGTGGGCAGACAGGCTTGGGGGCCTGGAACCCCCCTCTGAGGGCTACCTGGGTCCACTGGCCTTCAAGCCCAGCTCCATGGATGGATCAAGCTCCATCCTCAAGGAGAGCATCATCATGGGGACTGAGGCTTTGCTTACAGCTGTCTGCAAAATACAGCCCCTGACCAGCATGGATTTTAAATACTAGATTTTTTTGACTGATGCTCCCAACTGATGGTAAGTTCATGTTTCAAGGTAGCATCACAGTCAACAGTGTGACAAATGATTGTGACAAATGATGTGACAAATTTAAATGCCAAGAAAATCCTTCCTTTCATTAAGTCCTGTCTGCAGAGTCCCCACGTGCAGGAAGGTGTCCGACAGCTCTGTGGGATGCCGAGATCCTGGGACAAGCAGCATCAAGAACCACACCCTGAGTGAAAGCTCAGACCTTGGATTAGAAACATCATCTGAGCAGCAGCAATTGCAGCTCACATCACAACATTCCTGACAGCAACAGCTGAAGATCCCTGTTCCAAAGTGACTGAACATCACAGTGGGAAGCTGAACACTTGTACTCATGACTGCAGCAGCCTCATGGGGCTCATCCCTCTCCCTGTCCCCCAACATATGTGAATTACCCTCCCAAATAGCTCCTTTTCTAGCAGCAATATGCACACCTTTCCAAAGGCAAAGTGGAAATCCTTGCAAGTATTTCTGGTGCTGCTCCCAGTCAGAAATAACAGTAATCTGATCCACGAGCAAATTCCTTTTCTGTTGCTGAATTCCTTTGTACAAGTATCTTTGCTTTGAAAATGTTTGGCAACAGTGAGGCACAGGCTAATTTTACTTATAAGGTGTGAATCAAAGAAGATTTGCAAGTTTCTGAGTCACAGAAAGGAAGCATCTGTGGCCTCTCTCAGCACTTCTTTCAAGAGAAAACATTACAGTTCAGCTATTTCAGATGTGACTTCATACGTGCTCACTGCACCCCACGGATCCCCATTTCCCACCACCCTCGAGCTCTCCCCAGGCACAGCAGTGGGGACAATTCCAGAATCTTCTCCCAGGACCTGGGGAACTTCCAGCCTTCCTCAAATCTGCTGTTGTTAGTGGGCTGCATCACCATGGGCAAGGTTTAGGCCGCAGTGTGAGAGGGTTGAATAAATTATTAATTTGGGAGAATCCAGCAGATGCTTTGTGAGAGAAAGGGGTGACCAAGGAAAAGGCAAGTTACTCCTCACATTGCACAGTGACAAAAGCCCTGGGAAGCTGAGGGACTAAGACACAAACACTGCTGCAGCAACAGCAAACTTCCACAGGCTGCTGATGCCACATAAACGAAGGCCTACAATCAACTGACTCCTTCTGGGCTCCTTCACTGCCCAGAGAGCTCCCACCTGAGGATGGGGACAGCTCTGCCACACTGGCTGCAGCAGTCCTGGGGAGCACACACAGATGTTCAGCTCTGCTTCCTCCAGTTCCAGAGATTTCATGGCCTCTGAGAAGCTGTTCATGGCCACGTTGAGCCAGCAGCTCAGCCACCAGGGTCTCTGGCTAAACCCCAACCAAGAGAATTCACTGGCTAAACCCCAATCAAGAGAATTCATTCCCCCACGATGGGGTGGCCCAGCCTGTGCCCTCAGTCCCCAGCATCCTGCATGCTCCCAGGTGCTGGGGGCAAGCACTCCCCTCACTTTTTATCTCTTCATTAACTGCTCAGGGCAGACCTGATCTTCTCCAGCTCCACAGGGACATGCCAAGGGCACTTCTCAACCTGTCATTCATTCCACTGTCACCACTCACTGCTCTCCAGCCTCAACAGACCATTTCACTGCCCTGTCCCAGACTGGGAGTGACAACAACATCTTCTGCCTTAGAACAGGTCCCCAGGGTTTACTGAAACAGGCATGCCAGCCTATTGTCAGCAGCACCACACAGCAATTCAGCAAGGGTGGAGGGTCCTCCACCTCCCAGCAGTCTGTGGGATCTGTCTGTTGAATATATGGGTGAACTCTCCAAAAAAAAAGCTGTATGAGGCCCCCTTATCTGACTTAATTACTTCTGTACATTGCTGCTCTCAGCCTGATCCAGCAGCAACATGGTAGATCACAGCCATTGTCAAACCAAACTCTTCCCTGACAGTCTGTGGAGACGAATATTTGCCATCTGCAACCTATTCCTTGGTTTCTGGCACATACTTTCAGTGCTTTCTTTTGAAAGCTGTTTCAGATTTCTCTGGGCTTCTCTCTAACCTCTGCCAGTGAAGCCTCACACAGTGTAATTGTTGACAGCTGTGTCAGGAGAAGTATTTTACTTCTTTAGTTTCTTTTGCTGTTCCTCTTGCTGCAGCACACCAGCTGCTCCATGAAGGGCTGCCTGGCTGTGTAACACACACTGAGATGTGGAAAGCAGACCATGTCTTCTGAGAGGGGGACTTGGGGGGCTTGTGATGTTTGTCAGAGATAACTGCAGCTCCACAGGTGAAAACACGGAGAGGAAAAAGGCAGCTGAGCAAACAGGTGGGAACTAGAAGTAGTGGGCTGAATAGAAGTGAATCTCTCCTCCTTTCCAGGAGTCTGCATTTCAGATTCATGGTAAAGTAAAATCCAGCAAAATAAAAAAAAAAAAAAAGAAAATCACTGCTGATTTTTTTTTTCCCAGGCAAAAGATGGGAAATGCTGGGGACTAGACTGTTCTCCCTTTTCTGCCAGGCTGAACTCAAATCTGAAACATCTGTTCCCATAACTTGAGACAAGCTCTCGCAGTCAAGTAACATAAGCACAAACTCTTTCTGCCATCAGTGCAGAACTATCAGTGAAGCTTTTTGTGGAAGCCTAAGGATCCAGACACTTCTGATGTGCCTTGCAAGCACCGATTAATGTGTTCGCACTACCAGCAGAGGAAAATTAGCACCTTTTCCATATATTCTAAATGCTGAAATCTGTTTTTCTAGACCCACACTGTACACATTGTCCTTCAGGAGCTATTCAACCTGGGCAGTACCAGCTATATTTAACAGTACCTCACCCAGCACAGTGGGGCTTAATTCAGCTGAATCCAAGGATAAAGGGCAGGGGAAAATACTCAGTTTTCAATATGGAATCACAGACTGCTTTGGGCTGGAAGAGATCCTTAAAAATCATCTTGTCCACCACCCCAAAGCATCAGTGGGGACACCTTCCACTAGGCCAGGTTACTCTAAGCCCCATCCAACCTGGCCTCGAACACTTCCAGGGATGGGGCAGCCACAGCTGCTCTGGACAACCCACTCCACTATTACAGCACAACCTGCAGAGCAGAGGGTGGGATTTTAGTGGGAAATATCGAGGCCTGAATATGCTTTGCAGAACTCTCACGTGGCCATGGGTTCAGAGCTCACACCCCCCGCTGCATCCCCAAGCTTGGAGAAGAGCAGGGCTCGTGCAGGGCTCAGTTCTCCAGAAATGCCTGTGCACACACGGACAGAGAAAACACGGCTCTGCCTCTGCAAGTGCAGGAAGTTCACAAACAGAGCAGTGGCAAACCAAGCAAAAAGCCACAGAACTCTGTGTTATCCAGAACCCATCCCTGCTCCAGCAGCCCTCCAAGAACTCTCTGCATTCAACACGTTTTGGAGCATGAGCCCCATCCTGTCAGAGACATGGACTGGAAATCAGGACTCGGTTCCGGTTCTGCTCTCAACTCTCTCTGTGCGTGTCCAAGTCACTTTGTTTTCCTGCTGCTTGCTCCAACCCCCTGCCTGCTGTGCCATGATGGCCAAGGGTGGATTGTCTCCAGCTACAGACCTGTACAGTGTCCTAGGCAGGGAACTAGATTGGAAGTGGAGGGCTCTGAAAGCCACAGGGAGAAGGAAACAAAAAAAACAGTACCTGGAGTTGCTGGTATCCAGCAGCTTTCTGTGCAGCAGAGGAAAGCCAGCCCGGTTATTTTTGCCTTCTCCCCGCACAGCAGTAGATGGAGCTCTCCTTCCCTGCTCTCGGCAGCCAGGGACTCAGCAGTACCACAGATCCCAGCTGAAGTGACTCTGGCAGCACCGGCCAGCGATGCTGTCGGGACACACCTGGGGCATCACACAGGAGGGACCTCGGGCTCACGGCTCCTGCCTGGCACGTGAAGTTCCCTGAAACCTGTGAATGACAAAGTGTTCGATTAACCACAGCACTGCCTTTCCTTCTATTTAGGCATGGGGTAATGTTTTTCCTTTTTCTTGTAAACTGTCACCAGGATTATATGAAATTCAGGAGGTTTTTTTCTTCTGCAAAATAAGGAATGACAAGTTTTGCTTGCTATACTTAGAGAGAACATATTTAAAAGTTGTATTGTGGCTGTGAGCACTCCAAACTACATTATCCAGAGGATTTTATGGGAACTAAAGGTCAAAGGATCCGAGGACAATTTCTCAACTGCTGCTCACAGCCTGTGTGTGACAGCAGGACAGGAGGGATGAGGGAACTCCAGCAGCCATATGCCTCTCTGCAAGCTGGGAAGGACTACAAACATATATGTTGGTTTTCTCTCCCCCTACACCTCCATGTGCTCCTTCCAGTGACTCCAGTATGGCCCTGCATGGATGCAGACAACCTTCTGGTCATACACCACCGTCCAGAACTAGAGGCTGCAGTGCCCTTAAGACAGGTCAGCCAGGTCTTCCACAACAGCAGCTGACAAATGGAATACTTCAGAGCAGTATTTGAGAGCAAAATTCAGCTGCTCTCTCCTTTTCTGAGTTTTTTTGGGGGTTGGGGTTTGGTTTTCTTTGGTTGGCTGGTTTGAAAATGCACCGTACACATCCTGCTTCATCCCACTGCACATCCAAGTGCAGACTTGACTTTGAAGAAGAGCAATCCGTGCTGCCAGGGAAGACTGCCCTCAAAACCAGGGAACAACCTGTTGTTCTCTGGAAACATGTACCGCTGGACAAGCAATACATAAAACAACATTTTGACTTATTTTAGATTCTTTGAAAAAGACCACGTTATGCAAGTAGGAAAACCAAGAATATTGCAGAGTTACACAAGATGCTGGAGATGATATTTGCCAGCAAGGTAACTCAATATACATCTATTCTGGCACTTAATAATTAAAGAGAGGCCCCCAGCAGTGAATCACAGGGTGATTTGCTCACAGCAGCAGCTCTTCACACCAGAGAGGGGCCAGGACCTGCAGCCAGGTACCAGCAACCGCGCACCTCATCCACACAGTCCAGCTCCAAAAGAGGAGCAGCAGTGCTTGCAGGATAACTGATGGTTCATTTCTCCAAACAGAAATTGCCAGAAGAAGGGAGATTAGACACCTATCCCTGAAGAAGAGGGTTTTCTACTGATTAGCCTAGTAATGACTGACTTTCTAGATTCAAGACCTTACCCTGCCTCCGATCCTGCCCAGACATAATGGTCTGTTCAGACAGGATTCATGCCTCAGCCCTAACAGACTAAAAATCTAGGTAAGGACTTTGGCATTTGGTCCTTAATGAATAGCAGCCAACAGCTGACAAATTAAATAATTCAGAGAAGTGAAAATTAAATAGTCCTGCAGTCACGAGTGTTGGCATATGGAAAGCTGCCACTAAGCTAATAATAGAAGTGTCTACTGCAGCAGAGAGGGAGGTCCCGGCATCCCAGAGCAGCCACACATCTGGGCACTGGGAACACAGCCATTAGCAACCTATGTTTAAGTAGCACATTCTTGCTACCTTCCTGCCAGCTGCTCATCTTCTGTTACCACAGGCCGAGGGCAGCAGCCCACAAGCAATAATGTGGCACTGGGGACAAATGTGAGTTTGGGCTCTGCCCACCAGGCTCCCAGTTTGGCAGACACGCTTCCTGCAGCCAAAGGCACCAAGGAAGTCCCTCACCAGTACCCTGCCTGTCTGGGTACACCTGCTTTATTCATTTCACCAAAAAATGGACAACTGGTTCATTTGTCACTCACCTGCATTTGCATATTCTGGACACCACCCACCTTCTCTGGCTCCTTCAGGTATCTTTGAAGAGCATAAAGCCACTTGGGGACGAGATTTCCTGGCTCACTCCAGCCTGTGGTGTGATTTTCTTGTGTGCAGCAGAGCTGTGCTGTTTAGGAACAGGAGGAGAATCAGGGCCAGGAGGTGGAAGATGAACCAAACACACAGGTATCACTCACAACCAGAGATGGAGAATGATTTCCAGACAGGGGGGTATGCACCCATTAACGAATGAAAGAGGAAAGTTCATCAGGATGGTGGATGCAGCCAGACAGCAGCCAGGCTACTCACCTTCAGCTGCTTGCAGAAGAGAGCCCAGGCAGGGACAGGCAAACCAAAGCCGCCTGGGGTGCACTACAGAAGCCTACAGCAGCAAGATTACCCTGGGGTGCACTACAGAAGCCTACAGCAGCAAGATTACTTGGGTATTATATGGCCACGGTAAGAGAAGCAGATTCCCATGAAACACTCATCACCCACATGTGCAGCACTCCTGAAGATGCCAGAGGAGGCTGATTCTCAGCACTTCCCCAAAGAGTGTCCTCCACTCTGTAGCCAGAGAGCTGACAAGAGATAATGGGCACTAAAGAGCAGAAGTGAGATAAAGCACTAAAGAGAAGAGGGAGATAAAATGCTGGAGAGGAGATATGCAAGAGTGCACAAACACACAGAGGAACAAGCTCTAGTATAAAGAATGGGCAGGCTCTGCCAGCTCCAGCACTGAATCACTGCTTCTCTTCCTGAAGGACCTGCCCCAGGTACTTGAGGAGACTTTCAAGGTATCAAGCAGTAGAAAACTGCATGGCTGCTGAGCAAGCTGGATAACACAGGGCAAACTGAGCAGACACAGAGCCACCATGCTGGTTAAGGATCCATCAGTCTATTAAAGAGCAGCTCATGCTGGCCAAGGGTGGCTGGGAGAAGACCCTGCTCCCAGGGAAGCAAAAGGAAAGGAAACTCCAGGCAGTCTGGTTCTGTATCCACCAACATCTGCTGCAAGGGGTATCTGTTGGCTCAAGAGATGCACCATCGATTCAGGCAACAACTGCAGCAGAGATAATCAGGCCATCTTCCCTCCTTGACAATAAAAGTGACCCAAGTGTCTCAGATTCACTAAAGGGGATTTCTGTCCAACTGTCCCCTTCAGAACACCTGTGGAAAGAACAGCCTTAAGAGCAATCAGCATCTTGTTCTCCAAGTTCGTGAGCAAAACAAACACCTGGTGCATCCACACAAGCTGCTGTTCAGCCAGCCCTGACACTGACTGCCCATAACAATGGCAAATGCATCCACTGGAGGTGTATGGTCCAGAAAAATCCAGCCCTCTTTGCCTGCAATTGTAGCAAGAAAATATAACCTCAAAAAGAACCTGCAAGTTTTTCTATTTAGTATTTCAGTGCTTCCTGGTCAGAGACTGATGGTTCTGCATCCACTAGTTGTCCCAGCAAATACAGCTGCTCTTTTCCACATGTGTAAGGCCTTCAGAAGCAGAATTTAGCTGACTATTTCATCCTTACAGAGACTCCACCCATCTGTACAGCATCCTCTGCCAGCAGAATGAGGTTTTTGCATCATGTCTGATTGGCAACATGAGCTTCCAAAAGCCCAGAGCTGCACCAGGTGAGCTTATCTCTGGCCTTTCACTACCCTCCCTTGGAGCTTTCCTGAGCAGGAGTTTGACTCCTGCAGTGCTGACTCAGGGCACACACGTGGGGGGGGTTCTTCAGGACAGGGAAAGTTCCTCCATCCATCAGGAGGAAGGGATGGCTTTTTCCTTGCTCGAGGTATGGACTACTGTGGCCAGGCATGACAGGGAACACTTCTGGAGGTCTGTTCTTTCCTCAGCAGAGGGTGCTGACCACGGCTATAAACAGGATTTTTGGCACCAAGCACGGCACCCTGGCCTTCTCTACCTGTGGCACCTGCATTTCCTCTCCCTTAGGTCCTTTTATGCCATCCTCCTCTGCTGCACCATGGTCTCTGTGCTCTCCTGTCCCTGCTTTAGCTCGAGCAGTGCACAACACAGCAAATTGTGAAGGGCAAGAGGCAGGAGGAGGGAGCGCCAGGAACCTTGTGCCCTCTCCCCCCCTTCACCCACTCCTGGGACAGTGACACTGGACCACACATAGCTGTGGTGTTAATGCCACACAGAGCAGCGAGCTCATGAATTAAAATAGCAGGAACTGACAGTACCCACGGGTCTCAGAAAAGAAAGGTGATGTGGTGGAACTGGCTTGTTCATCTTTTCCATGACAGGGAACATTTCAACCCCTGTTACCAGCACAAACATTGTCTGCTCCCATTGTGCTTTGCCACTCTCCACACTGCACATCGGGACCACACGAATAAGGAAAGCCAGAGCGTTGCTTTTGCCTTCCACAGAAAGAGCTCAAAATGCAACAAAACCCAACTCCTGTTTTTTGCAGGCTCCAAAGTGTCCAGCTGCTCAGTCTGTTGTGTCACAGCCCATGGATGTATCAGCCTTCTAAGCAAAGCAGGCTGGTCACCCAGAGCCAGCTGCTGCAGGGACAGCAGGACAGGTGGCCTGTCCAGGAGCCCTGGGCCAGTGGCAGCTGCAGTGCCAAGGGCAGCTGTCAGCCAGACAAAAATTCTCCATTTCGGATCCAAATCCATTAACAGCTGAGTAAAGAGGCGAGGAGGAGCAAGGACAACCAGCTCTCACAAATACATACACAGCACTGCCTTCAGCTCCCATTTCTCAGTTACTTGTCTGCTCTCTGGCCATTAGCACAAGAGGAAACATGGAGGTGAGCTGCAGAAAGCAATCAGTTTGTCTTTCAGCTTCTTATGCACACACACCAAACCAGAGCTTGGATCAAGGACACCCCCAGGAAGTGCTGGAAAACACGTTCAAATCTTTGTGAAGAACTGCTTTTACAGGACACAGGTCGTTTTGGAAATCATAAGCAAAGGGTACTGAAGTGTAACAAGTTTTTGTAAGGTCAGCAGAAAATGCCTATGGCATTTCAGACACCCACAATAAATGTTTATAACATTATAATGTTAATCACAAATACCTTAAAGAAGCCTTACTGGAAATCACAAGTGAATCCTAGGGACTTTGATTTAATTTGGAATCTGGCTGTTTCAAATCTTGCTGCAGAAAGGTTCATAATCCTGAAAACTACAGAAGGGACACAGCAATGAAATAAGAATAAGATCCACTGGGGGAACGAAATAAATCCAATTTAGTGAAACCAGGATGGGATAGGATGTTGGCCTTGGCTTCAGTGATTCTGAGCTCTCCCTCAGATAGGATCTGTAGTAGAGGAGCTGTACTCTAAAATTAGACAGTGAATTAAGCTAGATTTTTAAAGGATCAAATTCTTCGTATTCTTCTCATTAAAAGCTGACTCAAACAGCCTTGTCTTTAGGGATTGCAGAGTTACTTTTGGGATGTTATGCATTCAGCCAAATCACTACAGTTTGCCTCTTTACTGCAAGTAAAGGTTTTCCAGAGAGAAACAGCATTTGCAGTAACGAGCCATCCCTGGGACCCCAACAACACAAACTGTAGTTCAATGTAACACTCCAGCTATTCCAGATTTCCTTCTAACCTACATTATACAGAGGTGGAGGTTTCATCAGTTGTAATTTCACTTCATGCAAAGGTGATTGTCCCTCACACACACAGCACCAGCACAGTGGCCCAGCAGCCCCCACTGGGCTCCAGCCTTAGAGGCTGAGTGAGGGCTCCAACCCCAACTGCAGAGTGTCACAGGTATCAGATATTTGTGTGTATAAATGTGGTGCACAACTGCCCTGAAGCTGGTATATATATGTGCAGATCAGAAATATAAAACCAAAAGCTGAGGTTTTATAAAAACTTGGCCATCAAAACAGGAAAGCAGGAGAATATACGGGCAGAAATGTAATTTCAAATGACAACTAATGCGTGTTTGTTTTATGGATATCAGTTATCTACATGGGCCTTAGAAAGCACTCATACAGAATAAAGCAGGGATGTCCCATGGATTTCCTTTCCACTCAAAGACAGCTTAAAACAGCAGCTTTGGTGATTTAGCTTCCAGACTTCAACTCCCATCATGAGACCTAGACCCAGGATGGAGGCTCAGAAGTGCTCTGTTCTATGTGCCCCCCAATCATCACTCTCCACTTCCTCTGAGGGGTTCTCACCTCAGAGTAACCAGCACCCACTGGAGCGAGTCAGGATCTCTCTTGTCAGGCCACGGCAAAGGCCAGCAGAGAGCACCAAGTCTAAAGCCACAAGCCTGAAGTTATTTGAAGACACAAACACACATGGAAAAACCTCCGGTTTAAAACATGGGTTATAAAAGCCAAGCAGTTGTGCCCAGTACTGTGATCAAATGCCATCCTTATTCCATCAGAGCTTAAAATAGGCTGGGTAAGAAGGCAAACAACTGTAAAAATCCCGAGCTGCTGCCAATGGACACACAGCAGGCAGTGGCACCGTGCTGGCTCTCTTCACTTCCAGTGCCGTGGTGTTTGTCCAAGGAAAGCCTCCATTGTGCTTCAGGAACACACTGAGCTGACTGTTGATACAGCCAGCGAGGAACCTCGCTGGCAAACTCCCCACTGCTAAGGCTCCACAGGCCCCATGCTGAAACCAGCCGGCTCCAGTGCTACAGGGTGAGCATGGCCAGACCTCCAGAGCACCTTCAGCTGACAGGATGTGGGCAGGAGCGCTCTTATTCCATTTACCCAGTCCATAGGACAAAAGCTGGGCACGTGATCCATGGTCCTCCCAGATCCTCCAAACCCCCTCTGCCAAGCACAGGTATTCCTCACATTTTAGCTGCTGCCTGCATAGGCTTTGTTAGTGCTGGAGGCTGAGGTTTTGTACCAAGCCCCAGGAGTTCAGTACATTCTGTTCAGAGCGCCAAAGGCACTGAATAACCACTTACATTTGCATTTGCCTAAACATAGCCTAAACATACTGCAAGCAAATAGCAGGAACAGGTTTAGCACTCAAGAGGCACAACTAAAAGCAAAAAACACCCATCGATAATTTGGTACTTTTACAAAAAGACCAAAAAAAGCCAATAAGAATGAGAGTAATTGAAATGGTATTTTTGTACTGCAGCAAAGCCCAAAGAATATAAAGTTCAAGATGTATGCCAAGAACCTTAAAACCTATTTTTAACCACTCGGTACATTTTATCTGTAGATAAGCTGCTAAATACCGTTTCTGGGGTTTAGGTTTTTTGCTACAAGCATGTGCGATCTCTGTCGCTGTCTGAGCCCGGCTGCTTTGCTCCGCAGCCGCAGCGGGATGGCAGAGGTAGCCAGGCTCCCAGCAGAGCTGCTGCATTATGAATCACATCGTGCTCTCCGGGGGAATTCGGGCTGGAGGGAGCCGGGAGGCTCGGGGCGCTATTCCTGGCGGCGCCGGCGATTCGCGTGACCTTGTGGGAGTGACTCAATCCCCGCATGGATCGCCGGGATCACCGCATGGATCCCCCGCCCGGGCTGCCGCTGCCGAACCGCAGCGCTGCCAACACCGCGGGGCTCGCCCGCCTCGGCGAGGGGAGGAACAGAACGAGACTGTCGGAAAAGGAAAGGAAATAATGCGGAGCGCGAGGGTGCGATCACAGCGCTGATTTCAAAGGCAGCTTGGGCTGCGTTTGGAACAAAGGCTCTTACCCACGTAGTAAAAGACAAAGTGTTAAAAAAGCAGCAGCATCCCCTTACAGTTATTTTATCCCTCTGGGCACTGGATGGAGCAGATGTTACTGTAATGGAACGCCTGTGCCCGAACGCTGCTGCCCCTCATGAGACTGAGCCCCACAAGGTCCCTGCGTGAGGGGA